CGCAGCAGAACGGCCCACGTTATCCCCCCACACACACACCTGGTACTGCAGCGGGAAAAGGGAAGCGAGAGAGGAAAAAGCATTCATTCATAATTAAATTCCTGTGGTGCCCAGGACAGGCCCCTCCTGTGTGCGTGGAGGCACCAGGCACCGCTGTTACTGACACAGGGCCGAGGGATCCCTTCCCGCCCTTCCCAGGTCTCCCTGAAGGCACGGGGAGGAAGGAAGATGGATCATAACTACAGGCAGGAGCTCTGTTTACCTTTCCTATCATCAACTTCATGTAATCGATGCTTCTTTTATAGCCCACAGGCAAGAACCAGGGGGAAAAGAAAAAAAAGTCAACAAGACTGTTGCTTATTATCTTGGCTTGTAAGACAACTGAAGTTAACAATTAAAAACAATAACAACTACTTTAGCCTTTTTTCCACTTGTATCCCCCCTGCCCCTCCTTTTTTTCCTTCTTTCCAACCAAAATTTGCTCTCTGGAGTTTCATCTAGATGATTTCTGAAATGCACAACCAACACAACAGTTTCACACTGAGGAAGTAAAGGAGACAACCAGCTCAATATCCCACGGCATCAAACACCTCTCGCTTTTCTCTATGAAATCACTTCTGACTTCAAAATAATCAGCAATCTGAAATCTGATAAATTGTACAGGTCATTTTAGCCACTGCATGATACTCTGCTGCTACTAACAGTGTTTTACTTTGGGGTGGAGAGGGGCTGCCCAAAAGCCTTCCCAGATGGCTGCAGAGGAGCGTTTTGGAGAGCAGGGTGGCAGAAGGGAAGATCTCACCGTACTACATTTTGGATCAATTGGAAAACCACTGGTCAAGCAGAGAAGCACCTGAGCTCAGAGGGTCACAAATGAGGACGCTTAAGGCCAGGGAAACTCCACTGCTTTCTGCTTGGCAAGGGGCTAACCCTGGGAAAACAAATTCCAGCATTACCAGGAGATGATTTATTAGTCACAAAACAAATTATATTTTTATTGTCTTCACAGATAAACTGGACTAGCAAGACATTCGTAACCATACACACAAAATATTTATCAAAACAATTAACATTACAAATCTCCTTTTAAAATAATTTATTTCATGGATTTTTTTTAATGGTACTGTCTTACAACATACATTATTCAACAAAGATGTGCTGAACAGACTCTAAAATAAGAAACACTTAAATTAAGCAATCATCTCTGATTAGAATTTCAATTTCACCCACGTCCTACCTTGTAAACGTTCGCTGGAATACGCTTCTCTTGTAGGCTTGATTTTTGTGCTTACAAAAAACAGCATCAAGTCTCCAAAACGTCAAAAAGAAAATGTTATTGTACGATAAGTATGCATTCAGTTCAACATACAAGGCAACCAAATGATTCTGTCGTTAACGTTAGCATCATGTATATTTTAGTTCACCGCACTAACATTTAAACTAAAACTTCAAACCACGTTATTTTAAGTGACTAACATTGAAAAGGCAAGCAGTAACATCCCGAAAGCTTACAAAGGACACGGCTAAGACGGGGCCTCGCTGGGCAAGGGCTGCGGGTGCGTGAAGGGCTGCTTTTTTTTGTACGAAGGCCACCTGCACACAGAGCAGCAGGGCCGCCCGCCGGCCAGCCACACGCCGATCAGCGCGAGCGGGCCCCTTCCTCGGGCCCGGGAAACGCGCGCTGCTCATCGTCCTCCGAGGTTTCTTTCTCGCTGCTGAAGGGCTCCCTGCTGTCACTGTCAGAGTCACTTTCGCTGTCTTGAGAGGCTTCCTCATCAGAATGCGCGCCCAGGCATTTAAACCTCCACATGGGTAAGTTTTTTATATAATCAGTTGGTATCAGGGGGTGCAGCCAGAGATCGGGGAAGGCCAGTCGCTCCAAGAACAAATCCGGGTCTTCATCCCAGTCCGAGTCGAAAGGGAAGTGCTGGAAAGAAGCAATAGGGTGGAACAGGTAGCTGGTGTACCAGTCCCACAGGCTCGACAGCCACTCCAGGTTATTTGCGTTTACTTCATCGTTGTTGTTGTTGCGTCTTCGTTTTTTCTCAAAGTAATCAATGAGCAACCCATGACCAAGGTAAGTGCTGAGGAAGAGGGCGGGATGCGACGAGTAGAACATCCAGTCAGCTCTTACCCAGGAAGCCAAGGTAGTTGTATTGGAGTACCTGAAGAGTTTTAAGCTGTACTCATAAAAACTATCTAAGTAAGGGAGTTGCAAAAAACCTAACACAGGGAGCCAGGAAATAATTAATAATGAATTATATGTCCCTAAAGTGCTTATAAGGACCACAAAGCGCTTGATAGTAGCACCTTGTGTAATGAACAGGTCCATCCAAGCCATCAGATTAACTAAAACTAAGCTTAAAACAAATAAATCATTAACTTCTGGCTGCAACGAGCGCAAAAAGGAATCCATGGCACGTAGGGATATGAATTCACCAGTATTACTTCCGTATCTATAAATCCCCTCGGGAGTCCTCAGTATGTAGGACGGTGTCTTGTAGATCCCAATTTCTGCCATGTAGCTTTTGTTGTCCCAGTTTTCCATATTCACAAAGATAAACTCCACTCGTCCAGTAAACTTGACACTTAAC